TAGTATTGTAGTGCTGTAGTATTGTAGTGTAGTAGTGCTGTAGTATTGTAGTGCTGTAGTTCTGTAGTATTCTAGTGCTGTAGTTTTGTAGTGCTGTAGTGCTGTAGTTTTGTAGTTCTGTAGTATTGTAGTATTGTAGTACTGTAGTGCTGTAGTATTGTAGTATAGTAGTACTGTAGTGCTGTAGTATTGTAGTATTGTAGTACTGTAGTGCTGTAGTATTGTAGTGCTGTAGTGCTGTAGTATTGTAGTATTGTAGTACTGTAGTACTGTAGTATTGTAGTGCTGTAGTATTGTAGTATTGTAGTATTGTAGTTGTAGTGCTGTGAAGCTGATTGGTCCGTACTCTGTGTCTGCGTCCAATCAGGTGATGAAGCTGTGCAGTAAGATGGTGGAGGCGGGACAAGCGTACAGCGCAGCCAATCAGCTGTTCCTGAGCGGCCTGGCTGAACTCTCCATGTACCAGAAGAAGGACGCCGTCATCACTGTACGCTGCTAATGCTAATGCTAATGCTAACCTTATGAAAGTAGTCATGATAACGAGACGTTACATTGTACACTGTACACACACACACACTGTACCACACACTGTACACACTGTGTGTCTGTTAGAAGCGTGTTGGTTTTCCTGGTTTCTCACTGACTTCCTGTTTCCTTCCCTCAGAACTGTCTGAACCAGTTCAACCAGGGTCTGCAGGAGATGGTCAGCTTCCACACTGTAAGTACACACACACACACACACACACACACACACCTCTATTTCTATTTCTTTGGACATATAAAACCTCTTAAAGCTGCTTTGATCGCCTACACAAATATTAACCTTTATAAACCGTTCAGGTCCTTCTGGCTGTAGACTTCAATCTAAAGGTGGCCGTACTTTTGCCATTAGGACCCCTCACCTGTAGAATACAGCTAACCCTTAAAACCCATTTTTATAGACTTGGTTTTATGTATTGTTGTTTTATTTTGATCTGTTCTGCTCTTATTTTTGTATTTGTTTATTTTATATATATTTCATAGTTAATTACATTCTGTGTTTTTAATGTCCTCTCTCTGCTCTCTGTTACTGTTTTACCTCCAGAGTATCCTGTTCTGTTTCTAAAAGCTGCTGTATAAATAAAGTTATTATTATTATTATTATTATTTTTACAGTAGAAGATCCAGAAACAAACTGTTCATGTGCGTGTCTTTTGTGTCTTTTGTCCTCAGATGTTGTTCGATCAGACTCAGAGAGCCATCAGCCAGCAGCTGACCAACCTCTGTACACAGTAGGTCTCCCCCCCCACACACACACACACACACACACACACACACACACACACAAACACACAAACACACACACACACACACACACACACACACATATTGTATATTACAGGTGTCTTCTTACATCATGACGTTCAGTCATCCATTATTTTGACATATCAGGACCTCTTGTTGTTCTACGGAGGCTCTTAGGGGAAAAAAACACAAAACACAAAAACACAATGGGGGGGGGGAATATAATAAAATATACGGAGGTCAAAGGTCAAAACACGTTCAGGTCGTTGCTTCATGTTGAAGTTTTATTTTCCCCCATTTCTCCTTTTGTCCTTTAATTCATTATGATTAATAAAACAGTAAGCAAACACTAATCACAGATGAAGATGATGATGATGGTGATGATGATGAAGATGATGATGGTAATGATGGTGATGGTGATGGTGATGATGAAGATGATGATGGTCTTGTGTCTCTGAGGTTCCTGCCCCAGCTGGTGGAGACCAGGAGGGAGTTTGTCCGTATCGGGGAGGATCTGGAGACGGCAGCGGTGAAGAATGCTCAGGTGTCTCGCCACAAAGCGGGAGACGCCGAGCGGGCGAGTCATCTGCTGCTCGCCACACGGAAATGTTACCAACACTTCGCCCTGGACTACTGTCTGCAGGTACACACACACACACACACACACACACACACACACACACACAGCCGCCGTCACAATGTTTGAATATCAGTGAAATATTCTGCACACTTTTATTATTATTATTCTTTCAGCTCAACACCTTCAAGACTCAGCAGAAAATCGACATCTTGAACTCCGTGAGTTTGAAACCTTGTTTAACTTCACAAACAGGATGTGATTAGCCTAGCTTAGCATAAAGACTGTGTGTCGTTCTCCGTCGTCAGGTGTTCTCCTTCGTCCACGCTCAGTTCACCTTCTTCCACCAAGGCTTCGACCTGCTCCGGGACCTGGAGCCCACCATGAAGACCACGGCAGCACAGGTCCTGACCTCTGACCCCTTTATATGACGATCAGTCAACGTGATCGCTGTGACGTGAGCTCACTGTGTGTGTGTGTGTGTGTGTGTGTGTGTGTGTGTGTGTGTGTGTGTGTGTTCAGTTGTCTCAGTTATCGACAGAATGTGCAGCTAAAAGAAAAGACCTGGAGAACTCCCACCTGCTGGTCCAACAGAGAGTAAGTTCATCATCTCGTCTTCCCCTCGACTCCCGAGAGCTCGCAGCGCACTGTAACACTCTCCCTGTGTGTGTGTGTGTGTGTGTGTGTGTGTGTGTGTGTGTGTGTGTGTGTGTTCAGGATGCCTCAGGCGAGCCGACGGTCAGCCCGTGTCCCGGCAGCGACGACATCATCCAGGGTTACCTGTTCAAACGCTCCCGGAGGAAAACCAAAACCTGGAAGAGGTACAGACCGGATGGTCACTCACGATGCTGCTGGAACATTTCTCACATTAACTGAACTTTAATATCTGAACTGGTTCCAGGTGCTGGTTTTCCATCAGAGACAACCAGCTGATTTACAGGAAGTCACACAAGGTACGACTCATTATCACATAATGATTTCTCCTTCAGTCATAAACTGACCACAAACAGTGCAGTAATACATTTGTGTCCTTAGTCTCAGTAATAATGATTAGAGCCCGACAGACATATTGTAATGTGTTTTCAACATAGTCAGCTAGAACTTTAAACATTGGGTTATGAGGCTGATAGTGAGGAGGACAAACACTGAGGTTCTGTGTCGCTGCAGGAGCAGAACGTGGTTCTGTTCGAGGATCTCAGACTGTGTGCCGTCAAATCTCTGGAGAACGTCGACCGGCGGTTCTGCTTCGAGCTGCTGTCGGTCCAAAAGTAAGAGATCACTTCATTCTGTCGGTTTACCAACGGGTCAACAGATACAGAGACAAACCAGCTGTGTGTGTGTGTGTGTGTGTGTGTGTGTGTGTGTGTGTGTGTGTGTGTGTTAGGTGCTGTGCTCTGCAGGCGGACTCGGACCAGTTGAAGCAGGCCTGGCTCAGCGCTCTGCAGGGCAGCATCGACCTGGCCTACAGAGAGAGAGCGGACACTCAGCTCACTCAGGTTCAGATATTCCCTGTATCAATAAACATTAATCAATACATTAATCAATAATGAAAGAGTTCTGAAGTTTGATCTGGTTTCTGTCCATAAACTGACGTTAAAAGCTGGTTGGTGGATCCAGGCTAGCAGTTTCCCTTTGTTTCTACTCTTTATGCTAAGCTAAGCTAATCTTTTGTCCACCCGTGTGCAGCCTAAAGAGCTCCCCCCTCTCCTGGGGGGTGGCGACTCCTCCCCGGGCCCCCCCGCTAAGAGGCAGGCGGCACTGGGCGTGGCCCTCAGAGGCCCCGGGAACCACCGGTGCTGTGACTGCGGGGAGGAGGAGCCTCGCTGGGCCTCCATCAACCTGGGAGTCACCATGTGCATCGAGTGCTCCGGCATACACAGGTAACCCAGTACAGACCAGTGCAGACCAGTACAGACCACTACAGACCAGTGCAGACCACTACAGACCAGTGCAGACCAGTACAGATCCCTACAGACCAGTACAGACCACTACAGACCAGTGCAGACCAGTACAGACCACTACAGACCACTACAGACCAGTACAGACCAGTACAGACCAGTGCAGACCAGTACAGACCACTACAGACCAGTGCAGACCAGTGCAGACCAGTACAGACCACTACAGACCAGTACAGACCAGTGCAGACCAGTACAGACCAGTACAGACCAGTACAGACCAGTACAGACCAGTACAGACCAGTGCAGACCAGTACAGACCACTACAGACCAGTGCAGACCAGTACAGACCACTACAGACCAGTACAGACCAGTACAGACCAGTACAGACCACTACAGACCAGTGCAGACCAGTACAGACCAGTACAGACCAGTGCAGACCAGTGCAGACCAGTACAGACCACTGCAGACCAGTGCAGACCAGTGCAGACCAGTGCAGACCACTACAGACCAGTGCAGACCAGTGCAGACCAGTGCAGACCAGTACAGACCAGTGCAGACCAGTGCAGACCAGTGCAGACCAGTACAGACCACTACAGACCAGTGCAGACCAGTACAGACCACTACAGACCAGTGCAGACCAGTGCAGACCAGTACAGACCAGTGCAGACCAGTACAGACCACTACAGACCAGTGCAGACCAGTACAGACCACTACAGACCAGTGCAGACCAGTACAGACCACTACAGACCACTACAGACCAGTACAGACCAGTGCAGACCAGTGCAGACCAGTACAGACCACTGCAGACCAGTGCAGACCAGTGCAGACCAGTACAGACCACTACAGACCAGTACAGACCAGTGCAGACCAGTACAGACCAGTACAGACCAGTGCAGACCAGTGCAGACCAGTGCAGACCAGTACAGACCACTACAGACCAGTGCAGACCAGTACAGACCACTGCAGACCAGTGCAGACCAGTGCAGACCAGTACAGACCACTACAGACCAGTGCAGACCAGTACAGACCAGTGCAGACCAGTGCAGACCAGTGCAGACCAGTACAGACCACTACAGACCAGTGCAGACCAGTGCAGACCACTACAGACCAGTGCAGACCAGTGCAGACCAGTGCAGACCAGTACAGACCAGTACAGACCACTACAGACCAGTGCAGACCAGTGCAGACCAGTACAGACCACTACAGACCAGTGCAGACCAGTACAGACCACTACAGACCAG